CCACAATGACACTCGATTTCAGCCACAGTGACACCCAATTCCGGCCACAGTGACACCCAATTCCGGCCACAGTGACACCCAATTCCGACCACAATGACATGTCGATTCCGGCCACAGGCACAGTAACACCACCCACCACCCCTCTGGCACAGCCATCCCCGCATACACCGCCTACTACCATGCCCCTAGCACCACAAACCCCTGCCCCTCCCCCTCCCCACGCCCCAACAACCCATCCTCTGCCCTGCCCTAGCTCCGACATGCCACCAGCCCCTTCCTAGCCATTTCCAAACACCACACCCCGCCCCAGCCCCTGCAAAGCGCTGCATCCCACCACTATGCCATTGTTGCTTGTCACAACCCTAGCCGTCATCGCGTAAGTCGTGAACCCTTGCCGTCAAGAACAGATCTATCTAGCTACCGCCGTCAAGAACAGATGTATCCGCCGTCGTCACCATGCAGCCATGCCATCCCAAATCAGAACAAGAGTTGTCGATCAATGAAGAAGTTGAAAAGAAAAGAAGAGAGACGAACCTGGTCGACGATGATGGTGGCGAGTTGTGACGCGATGGCTTGGATACGGCGGCGAGGCGGCGGCTTGGAGATGGTGGCAAGGCGGCGATGATGGCTTGACGATGGTGTCCAAATGAAGGCGACTACCGGCCATTGGAGGAGTAGGTAGCGTTGGCTGTTAGGTAGATCGAGCAATCGACGAACGATGGAGGTAGATTTGTCGTGAGGTAGAAACGGTAGATGGTTGACAAAGAGGCGACGGCATTGTAGATTCAATGGCAGGAGGTCGGAAAGTTGCGATGAAGATGCGGAGCGATGAAGACCAAAAGAGGAGGAGGAGGAGGAGGAGGAGGTGGTGGTGGTGGAGGAGGAGGAGGAGGAGGAGGAGGAAGAAGAGGAAGAGGAAGAGGAGGAAGAGGAGGAAGAGGAGAAGAAGAAGAAGAAGAAGAGAGTTGAAATCGTTGGGAAGAAGAAAAAAATTGTCATGTTTTTGGAATCTAAAAAGCTATACCTCTATAAGTAATAAATAGGCCATTCTTTCAACGTATATTTCACTTTGTATTTAACACTTCAATTTCACAATAGTCTTGAGATTCAGCTCGTTCTTCTAAAAGAAAAGTGTCAAATTGGCACTCATAATATGTACGGAAAGTCAATTAAACCTCCATACTTTAACATTCATCAATTACACTCATCCTACTTCGAAAATTTCATCAAACCTGTTTTTTTAGCAAGCCCTTGTCGGTCGGCAGGTTTTTGACGTGGCGCACGCATCGACTTACATTACGCATAAGTGACGATCCACGTCATTTTTCTTTTCCCCTTTTGCCTTTTCCTTTTTCATTTTCTTTTTTCATTTTCTTTTTTCTTTTCCTTTTTCTTTCTTTCTCTCTTTCTTTCCCCCTTCCCCGGGTCGTTCTTCGTTGTTGATCTGTCTTCCATGGAATCATGTGTTGCCGCCTTGCTGGCCCTTTTGGAATTCCGCTACACGGAGCTCTCTGAGTTCGTGGAGAATGTTTTGGAGCGAAATTCAGATAGGACCCGAAGACACAAGTCATCGTGGAGAGAGTTTTCCGGCAAGACGACATAGTTTGCCAAAGTTAAAAGCTCCCCTTGATCTAGAACGACAACTAACTCAATCAAAGGGAGCTGGACGAGAGCAACAATGAACGGTGACCAAAGAGGATGACGGCGACAAAGCTCCCCTTGATCTAGAAATTGGTTAATTGAAATGGAGATGTCCAGCAATAAATAGTACTCCCTCCGTCCCATATTTATCTCCTGAAGTACAAATGACACACATATTAAGATAGTGGGAAATGTGTGGTGGAGAGTTGTGCAGAGGAAAGAGAAATGTGTAAGAATGTGTAAGAATGGTTGTGCACCACAAATTCTTTGCTAAAAAGGGAAAGAGGAGATAAATTTGGGACATACCGAAAAGGAAAGTATGAAGATATTTTCGAGACGGAGGGAGTAGTTTATGTTATCATGTATTGTGCATTTTTTCTTTATTTTCCTTTATGTTGTTTTCATAAATAAGTGTGTAATTTATGTTAGAAAAAATTCCACTTTTGGTCCCATGACTATTATACCACTTCCACATTTAGTCCATTACTTTCAGATTATCCACATTTAGTCCGTGACCATTATCCCCTCACCACCCCTCGTCTTTCCGGCCAAAATTCCGGCAAATTTAGTCGATTTCTCAACCTCAGAATTAATCTTTGCATTAAATTTTGTATCAAGTTGGGTTTTTCATATCAAATTATCAATCTTTGCATTAAATTTGGTTTTTCATACCTAAAATCTGCATTAAATTTGCTAGAATTTTGGCCGGAAGGACAAGGGGTGGTGAGATGATAATGGTCACGGACTAAATGTGGACAATCTGAAAGTAAGGGACTAAATGTGGAAGTTGTATAATAGTCATGAGACCAAAAGTGGATTTTTTTCATTTATGTTATATATGATGCATAATTTGCGATATTTGCACATCAAGCTTTGTTTATTTACATATATTGAAGATATGAATCACTCAAATGATAAAGAATTATGTCTGATAAACAGCGCCACAACTCACATCATTTTGAGAAATAAAATATATTTTTCTCAAATGACTTTAGTTGAAGATAAAGTCAATACAATATCAGGTGTTGCGAAGCTCATTGAAAGTTCTAGAAAAGCATATGTGATGCTCCCTCACGGGACAAAAATAATTATAAATGACACTTTATACTCCAGCAAATCGCGGAGAAATTTGTTAAGTTTTAAAGATATGCGTCAAAATGGTTATCACATAGAAACCATGTTACGGTTACTTGCTAGAGGAGAGGGGAAGGGGCTCATCTTCGTCACCAATTAGCTTCGTCGTTGTAGGATTCCAAGATGCTTGTCTACGAGGCAGAAGATGTTTCTCTACGAGATAGAGGACCAGGGAATGGGGAATGAGATAAAGAAAGAGAGGGGGGCATGAGCACCACACATGAAATGTTCATGAAATTTTCGAAGTAGAAGGATGTAATTGATGGAAGTTGAAGCATGAGGACTGAATTGAGTTTCAGTATAGCATATGAGGGCCAATTTGACACTCCTCCCCTCCAAATATAGTCTTTATCAAGTATAACTTGTTTGCAACACTTTTTTGGGAAGTTAGTTGTATACAAATATAAAATATATATTTGTATGCAATTTACAATTTTGAAAGTACAATGATCACAATGAGAAATTATCTTCATTGCTAAAATGGTACTCTTTTTAGGATATGATAGAGTTTTTAAAACCAGACGTTTTTTATGGATGAAAGGGTATATGATACACAAGCTGTAGTAGATAAGGACATCAAATTTATTGTTGAAATTTAAAGGCCCCTTCAATTGTTTATGCTCTTTCTTTAGGGTATGTTTGGGAGTTTGGGAGTAAGGGGAGGGGAAGGCTTTGAGGGGGAGTAGAGGGAAGGGAAGGGGAGGGAGTGGGGAATGAATTCCTTCCTCGTTAGGGATGGACTCGGGCCGGGTGGCCCGACCCGGAACCGGTACTGTTCTGGCCCGGCCTGACCCCGGTGGCCCGGTCAGTGACCGGTCCGGGTAGGCTTGGCCCGTGGGTTTTCCGGTCCGGGTTCGGGTCACCCAAAACAAGGCCCGACTCGGCCGGGCTCGGGCCCGGTTCGGGTCAAAAATTATTTTTTTTTTCAATTTTTTTAAATTTTCGGGTTGGGCTGGGTATTTTGGGCCATTTGGGGTGGTTTGGGGGGTTGGGGTGGGAGGGGGGTTAATTAGGAAGAGGAAAACAAAAAAAAAATGATAATGGGCCCGGCCCGGACCCGGACCGGACCCGGTGGTTACGTGTTTGTGAGTTACAAATTTGAAAACAGGGGGGCTATTGGAGATTACAATTCAAATTAAGAATTATAAAGTTAAAGATGTTATCCATTCAAGACCTGAAAGTATGAATTATCAATTAAGGGCTTGAAAGATGAAACGTGTCGGTATAATACCCGAGTAAATGAGAACTATCAATTTAGGACCTAAGTTGACATGAGATTTTTTTATTATATAAAATTTAAATATTATTTAATTTTATTAAACTAATAAACTTCTGTGAAGAAAAATTCATCAAAAGTTAGCATTGGAATTAATAAAAACTAAATAAATCAAAATCTATGAAATATTAGGTCTTATATGACAATTTTTAATATCTTAAATTTCACATTTCAAAGGCTTTTTACAAAAAAAAAGTACAAATATTTAAGTTGATCGTAAAAATTTATACTTGCATCTCAAACCTATGTTGCGACAGGAAAGTGACTCGGCCAAGTGACCGGATCATGAGTCAACTCGAACCTGGCAGTTAACCCAGTTGATGTGTAGTCATTAAAAATTTAAAAATTGTTATAAGAATAAATAAAAAATTAAGGTGCCAAAATGTAAATTTTTTAACGAAATTCAAAATGTATTTAGAATTAGATGGAATATATGTAAACATATTTTCAGCAATAAAAATAGTGAGTATTATAATAGTGCTAGCCTAAATATAAAATGCGGAAGAAGTGATCTAGGATTCTATGCGGAGCATAATGCGGGTGGCCAGGGTTCCTTGATGACTGGAATTTTGATGAAGAAGAGACAAAATAGAATCGTTTAACCTTTGAAACCTCCCGATTCGGAGGAATTGAAAAAATCAGTTTTTGGGGGGTTTAGAAGGAGTAAAATACCTCCAAACCCTTCCCTCCCATTTTTGTAAACTTCCAAACACAAAATGGAGGGTCATTGACCCTCCCATCCCTTCCCCTCCCCCAAAATCCTACTCCCAAACACACCCTTAGTCAATCGACTTTCTACATGGAACATTTAAACCGCAATATTGTCCATAGAACCAGATACTCAGATAGTAGTAGCATCAATAATTAAAATCATGTCTTAGGCAACTAAAGAAATGTACTACAGAAAGAGCATTTGTGGGAACATCCTAGGTGGCATATGACAGCAATAGAGATAAGACGATGGCCTTAATTTAATATATCACAATTGCCAAACATATATAAACTTTTTGCAGTTCAAATAGCAGAGAACATCAAACCACAAATGTCTAGATGCTGGGATAGGGAAATAAACACAGAAGAAACAATAGGGAATTTGGGAAGGAGAGAAAACGTGATGAAAAAATACTTGTTCATCCGAAGTATATTTATTTCTTTTATACTGGTTCTAGCTCATTTAACTAATATATTTCTATGATAAAAACTAAAAATCTAAACATATCTCAATCTTTTAAACATTTTTGCCTTCACGTACCATGTTCTGCATTCCAAACACAGCCTTATGGTGAACTTCACTGATTCTTTTTCGCTTGAGTAGTAAAACTGGATCTTCGATCCATACTAGTAGTTCTAACAACGAAAAGAAGTGTTTCAACCAACATGCCTACAACCAATCCGAGGATACCACCAGCAGCACTCTGTAAATAAGAATACAATTGATGTCAGCTAAGCAAACAAAAGCTAACACTGAATGTGTAGAAAGCAGCAAAGGTATGCTAAATCTTTGGAAGTTGTGATCATTTATTAGGCGCACACGCAGCCTAACAATAAATAAATACAAATATATGCTATCAAGTTACCATGGCTGGACTGTGACTAAACAATGCCCTGAAAGCAGCATATCCAACCAAAAAGCCGGTGAACATAATAAGCACAACGTGCAAGCCTGCATTTAACCAGATATCACTTACAAAAATTAAATACATTCACAATAACAGAATTCCTTCAAATGGATGATGAAAAATAAAAGCCAAATCAAGCTTGAGAAGGAGCAAAATAAAATCTAAATAGGAGAACATATATTATCATATAATATAAAAAGAAATTTAAATGAATAAATAAACACTGTTCCCATCTTAGAAGTATAAATGTGTTGCAAAGATTGTTTTCCTATTTAAAGCCTTGTGTGAAGGACAATTTTTTTGCCCAATCTTGGTACTACGAATTTGAATTTCCAAAAGAAAAAAAAACTAGGGGATTATTTACACCTTATACGCTGTAAATGACTGAAATGCAACATGGGCAAGTACCAACTGTAGAAGCCTATAGATGAAGTTATCATGCACAATGTGAGATGTCAATCATCAATGGAGGTTACCTGGAGAAAGATTTTGTACAGTCTCTCTAGACACTTTTGTAGAAGGGGCATGTCATATAAGTACCAAACATAGATACTACACGGTACACACTGATACTCTCTTATATTCTGAGTTCTGACATGAATCATAATACAAATACAGAACCCAAAATTCGAATAGTTAACCATGGGGTTTGCTCACCATCTAAAAACTAAGTGATAAAAATGAAAGCAAACCAAACTTACCAAAAGTGCTAGGTTTCTTAGCATCATTCACTGAGCTACATTTTGCAGTCCTTGAACCTTCTCAGAGTGACCTTCAAATTTAAGAATAATAAAGATGGACTATACACCACTAGGGTTGTAAAGGAATCAAATCAAACCGAATACTCGACAGTTTTATTCGTATAACTACAGAATATTTGTATTCGTATACGTTTAATATTCGAATCTTATTTTACATTCGTATTCGATTCGCTTGGTATATTCAAATATATTCAAATTCGAAAAACATTAAAGTTAAATTATGAAAATAATTAAATTATAATGTATAGTTTCCCCCTTTTACCTCATTTCCATGGTCCATATTTCATACAAAATAATATATATATACACACACACACACACACATACACACAGCTCACTCCTTCAAATTTAACCTCAATATAAACAAATCAAAGGAGAAGTATATCTCTAAAATAAGCTATTTCAGTCTGGAAAAGTAAGAACATTTAAATTAAAATATGCAAAATACCTACTAGTTTTTGTACATATATATTACGGAGTATGTTATTAATATTTTTACATTGAGTTATATTTATTAATAAGTAGTATATATTGTATGAATATATATAGACACACACACACACACACACACACACACATATATATATATATATATATATATATATAATTCAAATATATTCGAATATTGCTCGAATTGAATATCATAGTATTTGTATTTGTATTCGAAAACTATTCGAATCAAAAATCAGATTTGTATTTATATTCATATTCAACTTACTCGAGTTCGATTCCGCATTTTCAAATTTGAATCGCGGATCGAATCAAATTATTTGATTTGTTTACAACCCTATACACCACAGCCATAAAAATTGCATTTTACACCAACACCTCAAGATATAAATATGGCAACCGCCAATAGCAACCTCACATATATTTGATCATGCCTAGAGATGAGCATAAAGAGCCAAAAAATAACGTAGCTTACCGAATCCCAATTGATCCTTGTAAGAAGAGAAAGGCTCTTCCACTTTCTTCTTGGGGGTTATGTCCTTGACCAATTCCTCATAGGCTTTCCTCTCGGATGCCTCCACAAGCTTTCTTAGCCGAGCCTTCAGCTCCTTGCTCTTTTCTCTTGGCTTGGGGCTAGGGAACATGAAATCGGTTCCACATAGAAGAGAGAGGAGTTCGGGTCTTTTTGTCGGGTTCGATCCCATCCATACGGATCGAAGAGCTTTGTAAGGAATGGAGACTAACAGAGAGAGTGAGGCAGCAAGGTCTCTCAGATCTTCAGAGAGGTGAGAGTCCTGCGTAGAAGCGACGAGAAATGAACGAATTGCATCCGTCGCTGGTATCACAAGGCCGCCGTCTACGGCTGCAGAGGCGGAGCACGGGGAAATCACGCTTCTTTGGTCAGTGTGCATGCTGTATTGTTCTTGGGCCTTCAAAATGGACTCGAATAACATGCAAAATCAAATAGTGGAAATATCCACTTTTTGTAAATGAGTTTTTTCCACTTTTAGTCCCCGACTATTATGTCATTGACACTTTTGGTACTTGACTTTGTTTTTTTCCATTTTTAGTCTTTGACTATTGCGCTAGAGACACTTTTGGTACCCGTATTTGAAAATTTCCATATTTAGTCCTTCAACTTTCATAAAAGTGACACTTTTGGTCCTTCAACTATTATAATAGTGACATTTTTAGTCCTCCACTTATTGTGTCAAAATCATAATGAGAGGACTAAAAGTGTCGATTTGACAATACTCAGGGACTAAATGTGGGAAATCTTGAAGTCAGGGACTAAAAGTGTCTCTAGCACAATAGTCGAGGACTAAAAATGGAAAAATTAGAAATCGAGTACCAAAAGTGTCATTGACATAATAGTCGGGGGACCAAAAGTGGAAAAAACTCTTTTGTAAATGCATTTTTAACTTTCATCTTTTCAAGTTTCTTATTTCAAAAATAGCCCAAATCCTAAATCAAACTCGTAACTTTTAGAGTTGCTCCTTACCCCCGTAGAGAAAATTCAGCTGCTGCCAACTCTGAAAAGTTTAGCTCTAAATACTTCAAAATATTCCTGCAGCTCTCAACCAGTCCAAGCAATCGACGAACCTCAGAACCGCTGCTTTCGTCCACAACAGAAAGATGTGATTATTCTACTCCTTCCCAGCTCCGGCTACGCCTCCAGCTTCAGCGGCTCCGCGCTCCGCCGTTTGGCCTTCGTCATGTGCGGCTCCGCTCTTCGCCCTTCGTCTCTTGCAGCTCCGCGCTCCGTCCTCCATATTGTGCGGATTTACTTCCAGTTGGGTGAGATGTGCCTCAAATCCATTTTAGATCATCCTTAGCCATCGTCCTATCGTATGTTGTTATTGAATCACATCAATTCACTCAAATCGGGGAAAAAAGTATTCTAATCTCACCAAGCAGATTGCCAAACAATATTTATAAGGTGAATAATTTATGTTCTTCATCCTCCTTTGTTCAACAAATTTATGTTCTTCATCCATTATGCTGAAGTTTAGCCTTTGTGTTCATTAATTAATTTCTTGTATCTAGTGAATAAGCAATAGACCTTGGTTGATTTTTTTAGTTTTGCTGGATTTAGATATTGGAAGCCAGTTAGTAAGGGCCGTTGGGAAAGCATGGTACAAGACGTTAGCCTTCCATCGCAGTGAATTTAATAGAGCAAATCCAATTTATTCATTCAAATATATGAAAAAAAATTGAGTTACATCCGAGAACCCATAGGAGGACTCACTAGAATAGTTCTGGCAAATTTTGGGCTAGACATTGCTCTACATGATACTTATTATGTGGTTGCACATTTCCGTTATGTACTTTCTATGGGAGCCGTTTTTGCATTACTTGCACTGGAATCATTCCGATTCTAATCATTTTATATATAAATCTCCCCACATCTTCACGACTCTCTCCAGCTTGGCCGGATCGAGCGCGAAGTCTTCTACCTCCTCGGCTGGTTCAGCCCTCGGTCTCCTTTCTTCCGCTTCCACAGTTCCGGTGATGGTGTCAACGCGGAACTCCGTCTTGCTAACCTTCTTTGTCACTTGAAGGTAGCAAGCGCGGGCAAGCTTTTGGTTCCCCCTTGAGTAACCGATTCCCCCCTCGGCCGAGAACTTGAGGCAGAGGTGCCTCATGGAGATGACGGTTTCGAGATCCTCGAGGGCTGGCCGGCCGAGGATGATGTTGTGGGCGCAGTCGATGTTGACGATGATGAACTCCACCTCGAGCTTGGCTCTATGGAGCCCGTCGCCGAAGAGTACCGGGAGGGTTATAACCCCCTCGGAATCAATGGTGTCGCCGGTGAAGCCGGCAAGAGGGGTCTTGATGGGCCGAAGGGACCCCCTCTCCAGATGCAGCTCTCTGAAGGTACTCAGGTACATTACATTGACGGAGCTGCCCGTGTCAATGTAATTTCGGTGAATTATAGTGTCATTGATCTCTGTGCGGATGACGAGGGCATCCCTGTGTGGGGAGGACACTGGGGGGAGATCAGCGTTAGTGAAGGTGATGGGTTCCTCCCTCAACCGCTTTACTGGGGGCATATGAGTGACCTCCCCCACGTAAAGTGACTGAGCCCACTTCTTTCGTTGACTTGTAGAGTCGCCCCCGGTATTGCCCTGGTGATCATGAGGATGTGGCGTTTCTTTTCTTGGTACCGGGGGTACTCCTCCTCCTCCTCCTCCTCTTCCAGGTTCCCAATCTCCCTCTTCTTGCCGAGGGGGATGGTGTTGGGGTACTCAATGGCAGTCTTCAGCTGATGGCAGTCATCGGTTATGTGCCCCTGATGCCGGTGGAAGCGACAGTAGGGGAAGTTGGGATTGATGGCATACACTTCCGGGGGTGCGCGGGAATCTCGCTCCACGAGGCCCCTCTCCTCGGCGAAATCAAGAATGACGCTGATGGGGTGCATCAAAGGTGTCCGAGGGTGCTCCAGGAGAACAGGCTGCGCCCAAGCCCTCGGGTTCCCCTTGTAGCCTCCCCCGTGCTTGGCTTGGCCATGCCGGGGGCGATCACCGGAGGGGGCAGAATCCTTGGGTTGGTTACGGGGAGCCCCCGGCCCCCGGTTACCTCTATTGTCTGGCCGAGGGCATTGCTGATCCGGGACGTGATGGCATTTCTCTACCTCCTCGGCTTCCGCATAACGGTCCCCCCGCTGTAGGGCCCTTATATAATCGCGGGGGGGGGGGGGGGGGGTTCGATGATGAGGCTCCTTGAGAAGTTCCTGGGGCGGAGTACTGTTTGGAGGAGGGCCAGGAGGGTCCCGCCGTCAGCGCCATCAACTTTATCCGCCTCCGTTCTCCAGCGCTCCAAGAAGTCCCGAAGGGTTTCCTCCTTCTTCTGCCTCACTGTTAGTAAGTGGGAGAAGTGCTTCCTTGTGCGGCGCCTTCCCGCAAATTGCGTCAAAAATCGTTGGGCGAGTTCTTGCCATGAGTCAATGCAGCCCTCGGGCAATCGATTGAACCATTCGTAAGTCGGTCTCTCTAAGGTGGAGAGGAACCAGCGGCACAAATACTCGTCCGATGACCCCACCACCATCATGCTGTTTTGGTATCTGCTGTAGTGCTCCTGGGGGTCAGTTTTCCATCGTAGGGCTTGATGAGCTGCCCTCGGTATTTCTCCGGGATCCGGGCCGCCAATACCCTTGGGGTGAATGGCGTCCGGGTCCGGAGCTGTATGGTGGGTTCCCCGGAGCCCTCAGTTATCTTCCTCTGCATTTCCTCCATCTTGGCCAACATGGCCTCATACTTGAGGTCCGTATGAGGGGCAGAAGTGGTGGCGTGTGCTTTGGTGGCCTCCATCTCGTCAAGCCGGTGCTGGAGGGCCGCAATGATTTCGTCCCGGGGGTCCTTCGGGAGGGCCTCCGCCCCCTGCGAATGGACAAGGGCGAGTGGGCCTGGTTGATTTGGTGATGGGCATCGTCGACATGGAGAGGTGCACTGCCTTTGTCCTGAGGGGGACGTCTTTCATTGGCACTGGAGACGGACCCGCCACTTTCCTGAGGCCTCTTGAACGCCTTCCCCCCGAGGCGGTCTTGGACCCCTCGGCGGTCTTGCGCCCCTTCGAGTCTCTCGAGGGCGGAGGTCCGGAGTTGCTCTTTGTTTGCGTTGTGGCGGTCCCGGGATTGGACTTCCTGGGAGGCCGTATCTTGGGCCACGACCCCCTCGACGTTCCCGATCCGGAGGACCGGGTTTCCGAGGGGGTGTGGATGAGGAGGTGGCATGATATTCTCCCCGACCTGAGGTTGAAGGGGAACCAAAGTGCCGAAGGCTCCCGGGTTCTGGGTGAGCGTCTGGATGAAGGCGGAAAACGCCGATTGTACGTCGATTGTGATGACCGGAGGGCTAATTTGGTTCTCGCTCTGGTCCTTTTTCTTGGCCTCGATGCCGAGGCGGGCATTGGGGGCATTCTGTTGAATCTGCTGGCGTAGGTCGACAACCGTCTGGTCCAACCCGGCGATGACGCCGCCCCCGGGAGCCCTATTAGAGGCTTCGGGGACGTCGACTTCACCGAGGGCCAGGTTCCTGTCCTCGACATTCTTGGAGTTGGCACGAGTTGTTCTCACCATTTTAGCTAGGTGTTTTGTGTTTGGTCGAGGGGGGGGGGGGGGGTTTCTTACTTGATTGTTCGAGCTCTCAACGAGAGCACCAAATGATGGATAGTATACCCGGGGGTAGCTTATCCGAGGGGTTATTACGGGGAATAAACAGAGAGAAGTCAGAGCAAGTAAGAGAGAGAAAGTGTATTGAATATGTAAGTCGAGGCCTTTGAGCGTGGTTTACAACGGGGAAATGGGATGCTATTTATAGTAGCAATAAATGCCAGACAGGGACACGTGTCAAGCATCCATTGGCCGAGGGGTCACCTCAATTGGTTGGCGATGGCAATCGCATGTGGCCGCATTTAATGCGGCTGTTGGATGTGACGTCGTACTTGGTACGGTGATCCATGCGCATGTGGAGCGGATATTATGTCGGAAAGGTGCCCTCGGCTGTAGATGATTAGCCGAGGGCTCTGAGCATCGGGGACCTCCTTAGTGCCGAGGGCTCCAGGTGCCGAGGGCTCCAGGTGCCGAGGGCTACTGATTTTCGTCGTTTTCTCCCAGTAACTTTTTTTTCCTGATTTGACCCTCCTGTGAGAATCAGAGCCTTCGGCCAGGGGGGCGAAGGCACCCCTGGTGCGCACTCTGGGCCGCTTTGTACTCTGGGCACTGTGATTTGGACATGTTGTGCTTCCTAGGCCTATTGAGCCTTTATTGGAGTAGTATGAGTCTGTGGACCGGGGGTTCCCGAGCCATATACTCAATCAAGAAGCATTAATGATATACATGTTTGATCTTCTCAAACATGGATATCATTTTTGTTTTTCAAGAATGTAAAAGAAATCTCAGTGATGACCTTTAACTCTTTAAGATAAACTGTTTGTTCAACTTAAATATTTTAGGGTCTAGTCTGATGGGAGTTATGCTTTTCCCGCACGTACTTTTTTGTGCAACTTCTCCTTTTCTTTATTAGTATTAAATGATAATTAAATTGATTTTATGTCACTAATTGAAAAGGTAAATGTGTTACTGTACTGGTTAATAAATGACATTAAATTTATTGGAAAAAAACGTTAATGAGGTATAAACTTATTCAATTTAATTACTTCTTTCTATGTAAAAAGATGAGGTTAACAAAATAAGTAAATGATATCTAGTGAAACAAATGGCTCATAGTTACCTTATATATATTCGGATGATCTTATATTAGTCCATCATAAGGCATTATTTGAAGGAATATATTGGAACATGAATAAACAATCAGATACTTTGTTATATTGTCAATTACAAGCAGAGTTGTTGCATCGATCATAACAATCCCAATGGCTAGAGAAAAACAAAAACATACATGAGCTTGAATTGTGAGACAGAAGAAATATAAAATTACTTTAAAGTTCTAATCCTGATCTACAAGAGTATTATTCTTTAACAAAAAAACGATACAAAAGGATGGTAATAATTATGTCGCCACCACAGATGCAGATAACTCCTAATCGGCAAAACCATTATTCGGTTCTCTACAAATAAAACGCCCATTATTTCATCACAACTTGGATATGTCGTACGGTTTCAAAAGTGAAATGGAAACAACAACAAAATGGTAGAGGTTTTAAAATAAATACTAATAATAATTTCCTAATTCACAAATCATAATCACAAGTCACAACATATATGAATGTTATAGATTGGCTTTTTTGTTAGAAAAAGTTAAAAAGAGTGTTTGTGGATGTCAAATTCACCTTCAATTTATAGACATGCTTTTAGGTTATTTTGTAATTCTGAGGAAACTTTTACCACTCAACTTTTTTCTCATACCCCAAGTTATCGTCAAATTGCACTTATCGCCAAAACCAATTTGTGTCATCTCCTCATTCATTTGCCGCAAGAAGCTCCTTTTCCTTTCCATCATGAGAGAGCACAACATACTTCATGCTTTTATCATGCTGGATTAGGACTATAAACCCTCAACGAGAGAGTTTGGAAAATTGGAACTACAATCATACCCAAATATTAATGCCGTGATGAATGTTGCAGGGCATTTTTGTACATCACAATCACTTTTTTACCAAACACTTCAACTTTTTCCTTTTAACTAAAATCACTTATTTTCAAACATTATCTACTTTGACTACAAATCACTTTTTCAATACTCTCGTAAACCAATTGTTTTTTATAAGCATAAGCCATCGCAAACATAGTCCGGAATTAATCTAGAATAGGGATAAAACAGAATTGGACCCAAACTTGTACTTTTTGGATCTGGCCTGATGGGTAACCCCTTACTTGGACATAGGGGTGGACCCGATCCCGATTTGAAAATTGGGCACTCCAAGGACCCGGACAGTCTCCCCCCCACTTGGACATAGGGGTGGACTCGGATCCGGGTCGGGCCTAGGCCCGGGCGGGCCGGCGGTTCAAGAATGCTGGACCCGGGACCGGCCCGGGTAGCCACCGGGTCCGGTCCGGGTCCGGGCCGGGCCGGGCCTCCGGTTTGGATTTTTTTTTTTTTGCTTTCCTAACCCACCCCCCTCACCCCCCACCCTCCCAAACCCCCCAAACCCATCCTACCCATCAAGCCCAACCCGGGTGGAACCCCAAAAATGAAAAAATAAATAAAAAAAATTCAATTTGGCCCGGGCCCGACCCGGCCGGTTCACCAAAATTGAGACCCGAGCCCGGACCCACCCTACCCCCCCGGGCCTAGGCCCGACCCGGACCCGAGAACCGGGCCGATCCCGGTCCCGCACAGTAGCAGGCCGGGCCGGTCCACAGGCCGGGTGGCCCGACCCGAGTCCAAGCCTACTTGGACAGGAACCCTTGTTTTTTCATTGTTCCAAAAAAGGTGGAATCTCCCCCAGGAGCCCCCCACACCAGACCCGACACAATTTTTGGGAGGATGTAAATCATAGTGACTCAGTCCGCCCAATGATGGTAAACGGTAAACCTTATGCTCGTGCGCACCACAGGTCCAACCCAGCACGCAGGAGCTGTAGTCTCCACACGACCGCTGCGGGTTTCGAAATTCGAACCTTGGTCATTGTTCCAAATTTCTCACCATTGAACCAACTGGGTTACCCGTGCAGGTGACCCTTGTTTTTTCAAATACGACTACATGATTTTTATGTATACAAAAAACAATGAATAAAATAAGTGAAGAGAATATAGCCCGACAAATGAGTCAACAAATTAGGACATTTGAAGTATTGCATTTCTTACATTATTAATCCATATTTACTACACATTCCACGCAACACGCGATTGAAATCTCTAGACCAGCACAGATAGAAGTCATACGGCCATACCTGAGCATGATGTTTCAACTACTACTACTACAACAACAACAACAACATCATCCAAGCATTTAATCCCAAAAGAATTTGGAGTCGGCTAACCTGAATCGATCTATGATATCATGAACGATTCACATACATTTCTTCATTTTATATTTCAATGAAAATAACATGCTCTATCCTTTCTAAAATCAGAGTATGATCACCCAGGGGCAATATTCGGTTTCCCTCCTCATTCACAATGCTGAGATGCTCGCACGCATTTATAAAAATGCTTGTTTCAACAGTTTCTTTGGCAGAAACATGGACTCGATCAAACCCAATCAATTGTTTCTGTGGACCTCTTTCATATGACCCCGGCACTCGAGAAAATAACATCACAACTATGCTTCCGTCCAAGCCTCCATCATTTGTCAATGTAATCTGCACTGAGAATCCCAGCATTTCACAATTTGACACATCATCCACAAGGACATAGTGCAGTGGTTTATTGCCCCCGCGGTTCAGAACGCTCCTTCTCGATTCCATCTTGCTAGATCTTGATAATAAGCTTAATCTGCTGGGTGCTGATAAGAACTCAAGAGTAAAATTTGTATAGCTTAGTCCATGTCCGAATTCGTAAACTGTGTGTCCAGTGTAAAACCGATATGTTCTTCCTGGATAGCTACGTGAAGGATCAGCCCTCAGGTTCATGTCGTTCATTGCCACATTTGTGAATGATTCTGGATACCAAGTGATAGGCAGTCTCCCAGCTGTTTATGAATTTGGGAATCCATTAGCTAAAATGTGCGGAAACACTTCAGAGAAAATTATAGATTATTCTGATACTAAGAAGCTCGGAAACTTTGTGCAGAGCTCAGATTTTGCCTGAGTTATTCTTGGTGTACCCCATTTTTGGGTACCCCATTTGTACCTCACCATTTGTATGGTTCACAAAAGGCCTTCATAAATTAATTGCCCCATTTATAAATAATTGCCTTTTGTGAACCACACAAGTAGAGGGGGTACAAATGGGGTACCCCAAAATGGGGTACCTATAGTATTTTTCTTTGCCTATTCACTCTGAAACATACTGAAAGCTCTGAAATTTGTTTGCTTAATTAAAAAATGGGAACCCAATGGAGCCAAAAACTTACTATTTTTGACTTGGGAATATGGTGGAATAAAGCAAAAAAGGCTCACTAAACTGTTTGAGCTTCTTTGTTATGAAGCAGCAGTCCATGCAATTTTTGACGCAATTTTCAATGTGGGTCATCCGGAAACACTCTTTGTGCTTTAGTACTGAGGTAAGACTACGTACATCTGACCCCCCTTACCCCACCACCGTAGGTGGGAGCCTTTGCGGCATTGGGGGTAATGATGATGAATTAAAAAATGGGAACCCCATTCTCCTAACCAATCAGCGTTTCAGAAATGTTGGGTTTTTGTACTTTTACTTTTTAAAAGTAATTTCTTGATGGAATTTCTTAGACCAATATTGAACTTGTTCGTAATAACAGTCATTGTGACATTTCACAGCACAGTGCATTTCTAAAAACTTATTGAAGTTATATTTGGTTACATACAATATACAAATGTGTGACTAATGTCTACATTTGATAATGCAAACTATGTTTATCTTCGATTATATAGCAACATCTATATAGAAAAAATACTACCACAGTCCCATTATCTTTGGCCCTTGCGACATGAGTAAGTGCACACATATTAAGAAAAGTGAAATTACGGTGCTACTATTAAACTTGTAATTTGTAAAGTATGAATGAGTCTTAACTCTTAACCAAACAAATAGTATCAAATATAGAATGTGGTTGACTCAATGGGACAGACGAAAAAGGAAAGATGAGAAAGAAATAGTGAGATGGAATATATCCAAGTACTTTTTATGTTAAATGTTCCTCAAGTCGCATATCCTATACTTTTTTATACTACCACTTTCCAGATTTCCCGTTTTGTGCTACTTAATTCAGATCCCATCATAAATCATGATGCATAATGAATCATAATTAGACTTGGCCAACAAAGAAATTGATATCTGATTTGTCTTATACTACGTAGTATTTTTATAAGATGCATCCATGCAGGGGGGACTAAGAAATGGTTTTATATGAACTAAACTAACCAGGATTGTAGTCTCCGAAAATGATATCTGACAGCGCGTTACTACCTTCTTCTCCAGGGTACCCAATCCAAAGAACACTGGCAACTCTTGGGTCTTCCTTGGCGAATGTGATGTCAAGGGGTCCGCCACTTGTAAGGACCAAAACTAGAGGCTTTTTACTGGCAGCAGCAACCTTGTTAACTAGTGTCATTTGATTGCCTGGCAGTAGAAGACTATAGCGGTCACAATCTTCAGTTTCTTGAGATAGATCCAGTCCAGCTACAACAATGACATAATCAGCTTTCCTAGCAATTGAAACTGCTTCAGCAAAACCATCAATGGATTTGCAAGCAATGTCAAAGCAACCAGTAGCATAAGATATTTTCTGTATGTACTCTCCACACCCATCAAGAATGCTTTTCAGGGTGCATGGTACTCCTGCAAAGCATGACAACTGTCAGCACACTTCAGACACTCTCAAACAAACTAGTTTGTTGTTGTTTCAAAATTATCCAATCCAAAGATGCATAGGAATGAGACCAAATGCCTTGATGGATACATAGGAATGCTTTGAGAACCCCCAGTCTGTGTGTTGTTGCCCGAGCAGCCCAGTCTCAGACTCTCAGTACCCAAAAAAAACTCCCAATAATGCCTCTATAATTAAAAATGAAACTAAAAAGGCTTCAATATGTTTCCCATGCATTATACAACGGTTTTGGTTTTAGGTTTGAAAACATGTTGATCCATATAATTTACCACATTTGATCACCAGTCCCTCCCAATCAACCTCCATTTTGAAAAAAACTGATGTCACATAACTCCAAACCGCGCTTTGCACACAATTTCCTGTCAAAAATATAATTAAATCTTAAAAAGTAACCATGAAAATTCGAGGTTCCGTGTGCTCTCAGCCACCCCACTTTTTTTGCAAAATGGAGGTTGATAAAGAGGGATTACAAATGGAACACAATGTAATACAAGAATGTACAACTACAAAATTATAGGCACCCAAAGAAAAAAAATGTTATATTAGCAAGGACAGAAGGCATATTCAAGCCAAGAAAAGGAAAAAAGCATTGGGTTTATTAAAACATTCCTGCGCGCTGCGGCTTCAGACTGATACTCAATAAAAAATTAGATGGAAAAACCCAACCAGTTTTAAATGCATTACAAATTCGAAGCCCCAGTAAAATGAACAGGTTGAAAGCACAAAATGTACGATTTAATGGGCAAACACATTCACCATATGAACAGGTTGAAAGCACAAAATTTATTAGATATAATAAGCATTAGCTGTCTGATCTACTCGGTGAGTACTAGGCGAGTACTCAAATGTCTGGGGGTGGCAATTCCGTTTAGCAATCCGACTCAACCCGACCTGATTTTCCGAGTTACTCGCCGAGTTTCTTACCACAGAGAAATAGTTGACTTGGGGAGTTACTCGGCCAGATAGCCAATCATAATTCTTTTGGGGGTTAAATCTGAAAAGTTCTAATTAAAGTGGGATATTGTGGAATATATAAATAATGAGTCGGTATTTTAAATATTGCAAATTAACCTAACAAAATCTAGGTTTTAACAGTGTTTCAGACATCGGCTCATTCCGACAGTGGTTCCTCACTTCCTCCTCACCTCGCGGTATGTTATTCTCCTCCATGGCTCTATATTCTTTATCATTTCTTCTTCACCTATAGAAGTGGAGCTAATAGTACCCAAATTGACTACTTTTTAGTACGGACGACTTGGAGAACTAGCTACACTGATTGTAAGGTTATCCCAGGTGAGAGTGTTGTCACTCAGCATAGGATGCTTGTGCTTGATTTTCGAGGTAAAAAGAGGAGACGAGTTAAGGTACAAGGGGAGCTAAAGATAAAATGGTGGAGGCTCGTGGGGAATCTCCAACAAAGTTTTGCACAAAAAATGTTGGAGGAAGATGTATGGTCTATGGATAATGACGCACACATTGATGATGTGTGGATATCAATGGAGTCCACCATTAACAAAGTGGCGAAGGAGATACTCGGAGAATCTAAAGGATGTTTGCCACCAAAAAGGACACGTCTCGGTGGAATGATGAGGTGAAACAAGCAATAAGGACCAAAAGGGAATGCTATAAGAAATTGGGCAAAAGTTGGAGCGACGAGAACATAGAGGAGTACAAAGAGGCTAGAAGAACAGCAAAGAAAGTTGTGAAGGAAGCCAGAGGAAAAGTGAACAAGGAATTGTATGTAAAGTTGGATTCTAAGGAAAGAGAAAAAGATATCTACAGACTTGCTCGCCTTCGTGACCGTAGGACTCAAGATATCGGAAAAGTTAAGTGTGTGAAGGATGTCGATCAAAGGGTACTAATGGACGATGAAGAAATAAAAGAGAGGTGGAGGTCTTCCTTTGATACCTTGTTCAACGGGAATAAAGTCCAAGGTATTGATGATCTTATTATAACAGAGTGTATGGTAAATCGGGACTTCGTGAGAAGGATTCAAACAACGGAAGTTAAAGAGGCTATGAGAAAAATGGGGCGGAAGAAAGCAGCGGGCCCAGATGGCATACCGATCGAGGCTTGGAGAAGTTTGGGAGAGCAAGACATCGAGTGGCTAACACGTTTCTTCAACATGATTTGGAGAAACAACAAAATGTCAGTGAGTTGGCGGAAGAGTACTCTCATTCCCTTATGTAAAAATAAGGGTGATGTACAAGAATGTGCCAACCATCGAGGGATTAAGCTGATGAGTCACACCATGAAAGTTTGGGAGCGAGTGGTTGAGCAAAGACTTCATAAAAGTGTGAAAATTTCGAAGAATCAATTTGATTTTCTGCATGGACGCTCAACAACTAAAGTCATTCACCTTCTTAGACAAGTTGTGGAGAAGTATAGAGACACTAAAAAGGATCTGCATTTGATGTTCATTGACTTAGAAAAGGCATATGATAGGGTACCTTGAGAAGTTCTTTGGTGGACCTTGACCGGAAAAGGCATATCACGTAAGTATATCAGTATCATCATGGATATGTATGATGCTTGTACTACAAGTGTCCGCACTAGTGTAGGGAGGACCACAAAGTTCCCTATTACTATCGGAGTGCACCAAGGATCTGCTCTGAGTCCTTTCTTATTTGTTATAGTCATGGATGAACTTACGAAGTCAATTCAAGAAGATATACCGTGGTGCATGATGTTTGCCGACGATATTGTATTGATTGATGAGACACAATCCAGTGTTAAAGCGAAGTTGGAAGTATGGCGACAAACATTGGAGAGCAAGGGTTTCAGACTAAGACGAAGCAAGACTGAGTATATGGAGTGCATGTTCGGTGGAGGTAGAAGTAGTAGCAATAGTGGGATTACTCTTGATGGTAAGGAGATACCGGTGTGTGATATGTTTCGTTACTTGGGTTGCATAATTCAAAAGAATAGTGAATTAGATGGAGATGTATGCCATAGAATCAGAGCTGGGTGGATGAAATGGAAGAGTGCTTCAGGATTTTTATGCGATCGAGGTATGCCGACTAGACTGAAAGGTAAATTTTATCGTACAACAATTAGGCCGGCTTTCCATCATTTGCAATGGAGCCAAAGATTCATTATTTTTTGGCTTGAGATTATGATGGAATAAAGCAAAATGACTCAGTAAACTGTCTGCGCTTCTTTGTTATGGAGCAGCAGTCAGTCCATGCAATTTTGGACGCGATTTTCACTATGGGTCATCCGGAAACAGTCTCTCTGTGCTTTAGTATAAAGGTAAGACTGTGTACATCCGACCCCCCTTACCCCATCGTAGGTGGGAGCCTTTGCGGCACTGGGGTAAATGAAAATGAACAATTAGGCCGGCATTAATGTATGACATAGAGTGTTGTGCGGTGAAGCAATGCCACATTTAAAAGATGAGTGTGGCAAAGATGTGTATGTTGCGTTGGATGTATGGACATACCAGAAAAGACCGCTTGAGGAATGAAGTAATTAGACAAAAGGTGGGAGTAGCACATAAAGAAGATAAGATGCAGGAGTCTCGTTTGCGGTGGTTTGGGCATGTGCGTAGAAGCACCTGTTAGATGACTTGAGGGGTGGGGAGAAGAGGCAGAGAAGAGAAGACCCAAACAGACTTGGATTAGAGTAATCAGAACTGATATGCGTCTTCTTGGGTTGGATGAGAGTATGGCTTTGGAGAGCAAAGTGGAGGGCGCACATCCGTGTGGACGATTGATGTCTTGTCTACCTTTACTCTCTTTTTTTCTTTTATCGTTTATCTTCCTTATCTTTTTATATTCTTATGTTATTGGGAAAATGAAAACTAATAATCCAACCTTTTAGCGATCTTCTTACAATAGTCCCACCTTTTGATTATTCAGGAATAATCCAACCTTTGCACCCCATTTTCATTCAATGGTCCCTGACCGGTTGATGACCTGCAATTCCAAGTTATTTTCTTATCTTTGCAATATATTATACCATAAATCTCACCTTATGGTCACATAATGTTTTGCAAAGATAAGAAAATAACTTGGAATTGCAAGTCATCAACCGATCAATGACCATTGAATGAAGATGGGGTGCAAAGGTTGGATTATTCCCGAATAATCAAAAGGTGGGATTATTGTAAGAATACCGCTAAAAGGTTGGATTATTAGTTTCCATTTTCCCTATGTTATTTTTATCGTCTAGCTTTTTTATGCTCTTTTATTTTTTATCTTTTATCTTTCTTATATTCTTGTGTTATTGTTAGCTTATATTTACTTATCTTTATTTTATTCATTTTATCTTACTTTTTTTTTCTTTCCTTTCTTGTCCGTCTTCTCTTTTTGGCATCGATATCATAGATCAATTCATGTTAGCCGGACCCCAAATTCTTTTGGGATTAAGGCTTGGATGTTGTTGTTGTTGTAAAGCAGAGTAATCTATATTTCCGTCATTTGCAATGGAGCCAAAGACTCACTATTCTTGGACTTGGAAATATGATGGAATAAAGCAAAATGGCTCACTAACTGTCTGCGCTTCTTTGTTATGAAGCCACAGTCAGTCCATGTAATTTCGACGTGGTTTTCACTAAAATTGTTTGCGCTTCTTTGTTTTAATATAGGGGTAAGGCTGCTACATCTGACCCCCCCCTACCCCACCGTAGGTGGGAGCCTTCACGGCACTGGAGTAATGATGATGATGAGGGATCCCGAGTACTCGGTCCTACTCACTACTCGGCCCTTGATGACTTGACCGAGTTGCTACCGAGTAGCTATTTAATTACTTAGGGCATTAGTACCTGTGTAATCACCACCAAGGCTGCTTGTGTTGGCCATGGGACCAATAATAGCAAGTGAAGAGACACGAGTCTTATTCAAAGGCAAAAACCTCTTCTCATTTTTAAGAAGCACAATGCCTTGCCTTGCTGCGTCAAGTGCCAACCTTCTGTGTTCAGAACTGCATACGTCTTGAGGACCAAACATAGAAAACTGCCTATTTACCGCAACTCCATCAAAAAGCCCCAGCCGAAATTGAACTGAAAACAAATTTGAAATGGCTCTATCTAGATCGCTTTCTAGCACAATACCATCCCTGAGTGCAGATTCCATATGCCGCAACATGTATGTTCCACAATTTATATCGGTTCCTGTTCGAAACCTTTCATTAGAAACATTGGCAATGAACTATATCAGGCTTATTGAAATGAGGAGGACCTGCTTTAAGAGAAACTGCAACTGCTTCTTCAGGAGTTTTTGAGTAATGCTGATATTCATATATAGTAGCAACAGCATCACAATCAGATGCAATGTATCTAAAATCATGACAGTGGAAATCACATAAGGCTTTGCGGAAAACTTTAGCCCAGTCATTTTAACTTGGAAAATGGAGGAAATTATCACCCTTTGAGCCCCCAGTCAGTTCGAGCCTTCTCTAAGAGATCCTTGTTTGCACAAGCTGGTATCCCATTGACAGAATTATATGCACACATCAAACAACTTGCTCTACCAATCTGAACACAACTCTTAAAAGGCAGCTGATACGTGTCCTCTATATCTTGCTTGGTCACCTTTATAAATAAGAAAATTATCATCGAGGTTTTTTACAGATAACAATTTCATTTAGCTTACCGTAATTAACAAGTCAAGTTTCTACTAATTAGAAGAAATAAAATCAAAATCTGCAAGGTTCAACACAAATCTTGTTATCTGAAAGAGTTAAACTGTAATTAAAGAATAAACAAGTTATCAAGTCTTATCACACTGAAGCAACAACTCAGGGAAAAAAATCTGTGACAGACAAAACCGAAATTGCTCCTGTCAAATAATGCAGGAAGCATAAAGTTATGGAATGCGAAGTTGAGATTAACTATGGATCCAATGCAAATCTAGCATCTAGAGAAATTTCATGAGCACTGAGAATATGAGGTGGTTTTCCATGAGATGGGAAGTCAAAAGAATCAAACGGGTGGGGATTAAATTATAAGGGTCTTCGTTGCTCAGTTTTTACTCCCCGCATTCCGCTCACAATCTTCTTCATCAGAAGTCGGAAGTCAGAACACTCCATAAAACTAATCAATGCATGGTCAACGATTGTGTTGAAGCTGGGGGAATATTGAGATAGTTGTTGGCTCATCACTTAGTTGAGAAGATCAATTTTTTGTTCTTGCTAGTGTTGAAGACATAGACCTATCGCTTGACTCTTGTATTCCGTTGGTTAAGGTTTCACATATCACTGATTTTTCTTTTAAGAAATGCATGTCAATGTCTCTTTTAACGCACAATCAGATTCATTAATCATAAATGTCGATGCTCTTACACAAAAGTACAGAACCACTGTCAAATCAACTTAATCATTGGCTCAGAATGATGCATTTCAGAATTCTTCATTTTATTATTTCAGTCTCATCTGGTCTTTTATTGATTCCTAAAAAAAGATGCCATTCTTCCGAGAATATATTCACATGCCTCAACCAAGTTTCATGGTGAACCATAAGCTGCTTGTGGAATTTCTAATGCTACATAAAAGGGGGCAGCCCGGTGCACGAAGGCATACCCGCAAGGCGAGGGTCAGGGGAAGGGTCTCACCACAAGGGTATAAGGGGCAACCATTCCCCATTCAAATTGTTGACAAGAGGCCGCTCCCAATACTTGAACCCGTGACCTCTCGGTTACACAACAACACCTTAACCGGTGTGCCAAGGCTCCCCTTCAATTTCTAATGCTACATAGTTTATAGTTAATCATGGGAAATGTTGGTTCCCATAGTCTTGTGAACTTTAAGTCTCACAGTTTAATCATGAGAAATGTTGTCTCACGGTTTAATTATGAGAAATGTTAGTTACCAAAGTTATCAGACTTCAAATATGAGGCAAGCTTGATGTCCCTGGGGTCTAATACCTTACTTATTGAATAGCTCAGTATCTTTTGTTGAATAAAATTGCCCATTTTCTTGCAAATATTTTTTATTGAATTAGTTTTTGTATAGCTCAGTACCTTATTAAGTTAGTTTTTGTATGCAAGATTTGAAATTTTTGATTGAATATTATTGTTCTACTGCTGCAATGAAGAGGGCATTGAGCTTGACTTTTGAGCTTTACTCTCATGGCTGCATCAATATGTATAGCTCACCATTAAAGGAAAAGCTTTTGCACAGATTTTGATCCAGTCCTTGTTAAAGCAAGCAAGCCTATTTACTTATCTGTTATCTGTATTCCTAGATCAGAATGGAGACCAAATGTGAAGATGAATAAATAACATGTTACTTTTACCAGCTCGACATGTTTTTCAAGAACCTTTACGGCTCGCTTGGTAGTTTGCACGTTAAAACTTTTGCACGCAAAATGATTGCATGTAAAGTTTAGGGAAGCAATTACTTTGTAGATAAAATAAAATACACTATTTGCTTAGGTGTATAATTTTCTTTGAAATTAGTCATTGCAATACTTTATAAAAAACATGCAAAATATTTTACCACCCCCACATAAAATATTTTATATGGTACAATGCAAAATGTTTAAAAAAGTGTCCTATACAACACCATCCAAGCCTTATTCCCAAGCAGATTTGGGGCAAAAAAAGAGTCCTATAATTTACATTAAATAATTAAACCAACTGATGGAAACTTTTGCATGCAAAGTACTAGTCATTATTTAGCGCCCTACCAAACACCATCTTAGAGTACAATTATTAAAAGTGAAAATAATTGGAGGGGAAGATGAAATAGTTGGAAGTAAAAAATAAAAGAGGAAGGATACGCATGTCTTTGATACTCCGTATAGTGGTAATTTAATTTCCAAAATAAAGGTGAAGAAGTAATAATAAACTTTAATATAAAAAAAGGTGGGAAATTAAAGTTAATGGAATTAATAAAGAAGGTGGACAAAAAAGGATACTACCAAGTCCCTAAAAAACTTAGGTTTACCTAAACATATTTATGCAAAATAAACTATTGCTTTAATTTTCCAACTTCCAAGACTCCAAGTACATCCTTATTTCATGTCAAATCTTTTTATGGAACAAAAACTTGTACTGGAAGGAGTGTGATAACCTAGCAGACGATAACAATACTTTTGCATGCAATTAATCCTTGTTATTATACGTAAAAATAATCAAGCAAAAAATAAGATGGAATGAACAAGCGTATGGCATGTTGGTTGGCAAAGTTAGAAGGGAGGGAGAGAGTATAACTCCTTTGTTTGTTAATAGAAAGAGTAACTTACCACAGCATTGAAGTTATATCTAGTGAAACCGTGCCATTTCTCCAAATCATAAGCCGTTAAATGCTTACAGCATGCTGACAACATCAATCTGCCATCACCCTCATCTACTTCTTCCTGAGGCATCCTATTCCCACCAAGCAAATGCCTATCACCATTTTTAACCATGGAGCTCTGGCCTTGTAACCCAATAACATATTCCACTGCATAATCAGAAACCACCATCGGATCTTCTCCGGGCGTCTCTTGTCCTCTGCCCCATCTCGGGTCCACGAAGACGTTCACATTGGGAGCCCAGAAAGTCAGCCCCGCTTGACCCGAATTGTACATAGCCCGGGCCTCAACGGCTGTGGCGGCGGCGATGGAGCGCCACAGGGTGCGGTTGAAGCTAGAAGCTGTGAGGATGACCTGTGGAAATACGGTAGCAGATTTGACGGGGCCTAGGAAGGATACCCCGGGGCCATTGGTGGCGACGCCGTGGAGAGACTCGGACCACCACTCGTAGGCGGGGATCCCAAGGCGAGGGATGGCGGAGTTGTTGTTGGAGAGGCGCTGGATTTTCTCATCTAGGGTGAGGAGTGAGACGAGGGAATGGACTCTGGTGGCATCGGGGAGCAAAGTGTTGCAGAAATCGTAGGAATCGTGGAGCGGCGGCTGGCATGGCAACTGAGGTTTAGAGTGGGAATAAGAAAGTCCAGAAAACACCAAAGTGAAGATGAAGAAGAAGGATAGGGATGGAGAATGATACAACATGAGGGTGGTGTTTGAGTCCGAAATATCACAGTCCCGGCATGTTATCATTTAATTAATGCAGCAAACCGGCATTAGATCGAGCCATTTAAGAAATGACTCAAACCTTCACGTGTTATAATTAATCATGCGTCAAACCCCTTTAAAAACAAATTTAATTTCCAAAAAAATTAAAAATGATTAGTTTTATTATATAATTTAGAAATTTTGACAAAGTTACTTGCATATTCAACCATATTATTAAAAAAGTGATTTTAAAATTTGTTCTTGAAGGGGGGATTTGCGCATGATTAATTAAAACACATGAGATTTGATGCATTTTTTAAATCACAAGGGGGTTAATACGCCGAAATTTATATTTCACAAAGGGGTTTGACGCATTTAACCCCATACTATTACCACTGATGGGGAGCACCCCATCGGCCATTAATTTGAGTAAATAATGAAATTTCTAATGAAATTTCACTCGATCTCTATTTCTTATTTCTGTTTCCACTAGATTCTCACCCGTGCGATGCACGGATGAAAATTTATAAAACTTATTAATATTATTTTTTCTACATTAACAATAATGCGAAAGATTGATAAGAATATAATGTAAAAATGTTGGAAAAGAGAACAAATATGTAATACAGTACATTGTTATACACTTATACTACCATCCCACCAATATTGGGACGATAGAGGATGACACGGGTTCGAAGAAAAATGGGGTTATGTGGTTGATATTAATTGATAAAGTACAAATAAAGTAAGAATGATTTAGTGTCATACAAAATCTACCAAATTTGATATGAACAATTTTAGTTTGATTTCCTAAAAAAAATAAAATGAGACAATATTAACAGGACGAAGGAAGTATAATACCACGTAAATAGTTAAAAAAGTAGTCAATGTTTGCAATATTTTAGAAGCCAATAAAATGTAATCACAATATAATTTTTCCTTGCATGCCATAAATAAAGTACTTCGCACTTGTTTTAGTAGCACTTCGAAGCGCTCTCTCCTCGTACCAAAACATTGTGCCACAATATAAATATATAGTTATGCAAAGGATCAATAAAATCTCAAAATTCACCACTTGTTGTGTCTAGAAGTAAAAGTTTTGAAAATTAAAGATGTCATTGTTTGTATTTCACAATGTAAAAAATGCAACAAGTACATAAATTCATAAATACCTTCTGGCCGTTGATTTTTCTCAACATTTTCTGTCCAATATGAAACAAATTATTTATATTTTATTAATGACATTAAGTCAAATTTTATACTCTGAATATTACAAAAAATATTAAAATAAATAATAATACATAATTATGGTATGTTCTTCATCAAGTCTAGTTTATCCATACCAAATTTCAGCTCAAAATTCGATCAGGAAGGCCTTCAAATGATTTTTTGAAGTTGATTGCGCCAAATTATACATAGAAAAACGCAGTCAACTTCAAAAAATCATTTCAAAGCCTTCTCGACCAAATTTTGAGTTTGGTATGGATAAACTAGACTTGATGAAGAACATACCATAAAAATTTCATTAAAAAATTCCACCGGGAACCACCCCGAACGGCGTTGTTCGGACGGCGCCTCAGGTCCGAACGTTCGGACCTGAACATTCTTATATATATATACATAATGCATGTTTTGAGTTCTATTCCTTTACACACCCTAGCTGCTGACACACTTCCTAAAAAGGTACTCCCTCCATCCCGATAAATTCTTCCAACTTTCCTTTTTGGACCGTCCAAATAAATTCTTCCAACTTTCCAAAGAAGGAAACCAACCCATACTAAAAACCCTATTTTACCCTCCCCAATTAAAAATCATATACCGTTTCCCATCTCCCATTTACCCCATCTGCATCCCTCTTTCCCATTTACTCCCACCGTCTCCGATTTCTCTGTCACTGCATCCGTCTCTCTCAATTACTGCAACCGTCTCCCTCTCTCATTTACTTCAACCGTCTCCCCTCTGTAAATCTATCTACACTTCTGCCTCCCTCTCTCTCTCACACATTTTTATGGATCTAAACCCTAATACTTTCAGTATGGAGAATATTGAAGAGTTCACCGTCCCTGACAGTGAAGAGGGTCTTCTTCCGGAGGAAGCGATGGCGTTGGATTTTGCAGACCCTGTATTGGTACTCCATCTGAGGTGCATGACTCAGAACTCCCCGGAAGAGAATGCCCTCCTAATAATCTCGGACAGTGAAGACGACATTCCCGAGGATGTAAGCGAGAAGCCTATAGAGGTCATGGGGGAGACGGTGGACCGAAATCTGCTAAAAAGACGCAGAGACACGGACATGCATCCTATTCGGAGAAGTCCCCAGCTGGAAGAGTTCCTAAAACTAAATTTTGCCAGAGTAGGAAACAATGATGTGGGATATGGACACAAATTAGGGGAGTTTCTTCTATACCATATCTTCGTTTATGGTTTAATTCGTACTCTATGTCCATTGTGTGATTTTTGGGGGAAGCAATGATAAAAAATGGTTTTATTGATGTTTATTGTGATGCATGTGGCTTGTACATGGTAGTTTGGTATGCTGAATGGTAGTTCGGCATACTGTGATGAAAGTAGACCTTTGTGTACTGGTCCTTTATGCATACTGTCATGAAACTGTCCCTTGTGTATTCTTGTTCTTTAAGTAATCTCTCATCAATGTATCCCTATTGGTCCTTTATGCATACTGTGATGAAAGTAGACCTTGTGTGTACTGGTTCTTTATGCATACTGTGATGAAAGTAGGAGGTCTGTGTATTGGTTCATTATGCGTGGTATGCTATGATGAAAGCATTAGGCATGTGATATGGTAGTCTATGCATGCTATGATGACCATATGAAAGTATTTTGGTAATTTATGCATATTATGATGACCATGACCCTGTGATGTGGTATTTTATGCATATTATGATGACCATGATCATGTGATATGGTACTTTAGTCATACTGTGACCACCATAGGCCTGTGATTTGGTACTTCGATCAATTTATGATGAGCATATGCCTGTGATGTGGTACTTTGGTCAATCTGTGATGCCCATAAAGAATGTCTTTCAGTACTTGTGTGTGGAGTGTATGTTGTAATAGTGGTTGTACATAAGGTCTGAGTATGCTGTTGTTGTACCAAAATGATGAAATCATTATGACCATTGGTAGTTCATTGTGACTATTACAAAATGTTTGAGTATGCTTCTACTTGTACAAAATGTGTGAGTATGCTTGTACTTGTACAAAAGGTCTGAGCATGTTTGTACTACTT